TATAGATAAATTTCTTCTCAATTAAAAATTATACACTGAAAAATAAAATTTGATTCAAATAACAGAGTACGTGCCTATTATCAAAATAAATATTTACTTGATTAAGGTAATTTTTACTTCTAACAATTAAAGTAAATATCAAAAATACAGGGCACGAAGCAATGAAAGTATTTAAAAAAATACGGACTTTACGGATTAAAAATTACAGACCGATTACGGAAAAAATTATTTTCATCATTTCAATTCAATTATTATTTTCTACAATTTTTGACTAAAATTCTTCTCTAAATCAATTGATTAGAGAAGAATTTTATTTTTTTAAAAATAATTTTCAACAAAGTTCTTTTTGAGAATTTTGAAATCCATTTCTTTAAAATACAATTTTACGTGAAATTTAGATTATTCGGAAATTCTTCAATTAAATATATTGTAGAAAATAAAAAATTCAAATAATTTAAAAAAAAACATTCAATTAAACTTTTCTAAAAAAATTAATTCTACAGATTGTTAGTTAAAAGTATGAAAAATTCAAATTTATTTATTGCTAAAAATTAACGCTATAATGCTTTTAATAATTCAATTATTATCTCAAATTTTAACTGAAATTAAGTTTTAAATCAATTTTTATTAGCAAATTCTACGAGAATTCAAAAAAACAAGTTTATTAAAATTTTTGAAAATAATTGAATTTCTGTGAAAAATTTTATGAAAATTTTAAAAAATAATTGAATTCCTGATAAAAATTTTGTTATTTTTGAAAATAATTGAATTTTTGCTAAGAATTTTGCTATTTATAATGATAATGGAATTATTGCCAAGAACATTACTTGAAGATTTTGAAAATAATTGAATTCCTGAGAAGAATTTTATGATAATTTTTGAAAATAATTAAATTCCTGTTAAAAATTTTGTTATTTTTGAAAATAATTTAATTTTTGCGAAGAATTTTATAAAAAAAAATGTTTAAATAATTGAATTCCTGCGAAGAACTTTGTTCTTTATGATAATAATTGAATTTTTCTGAAGAATTTTGTTATTTATCAAGATTTTTGTTATTCATTATTTATTAAAGTAATGGAGTTATTACGAAGAAATTAAAAAAAATTTTATAAATAATTGAATTCCTGTGAAATTTTTATTGTTTATGAAAATAGTTAAATGTTTACATAGAATTTTATTTAAATTTTTTTGAATAATTGAATTCTTTTAGAAAATTTTAATAAAATAGTAGATATTGAATTGAGGGAAATTTTTGAAAATAATTGAAATTTTGCCAAGAATTTTATTAAAAATTTTGAAACTAATTGAATTTCGGAGAAGAATTTAATTATTTATATAAAGATAATTGGAATTTTAAAGAGAATTTAAAAAAATTTTTGAACACAATTGAATTTATGTAAATACTTCAATACTTTAAAAAATAATTAAATTTCTACAATCGTTTGTAATTTTTTCCAAATTTTCCAAATTTACCAATTTATGAACTTCTCGTCTTTTTTCAGACTTTACGGGCCTTTTTTTCCAAAAATCGGACTTTTACGGACTTGAAGCAAATTTACGGACCTTTATGGGATTTACGGACCTAATACGAGCCCTGAAATTAAGTATCAATTAAAATAAAATACCAGAATTTTTGGCTACCTGCTATGCAACAAGCCATGTAACCAACAAAAAAAAAAATACCAGAATTCAGTAAATACGAATTTATTTCAAATACCGAAATTATTGGTTCAAATACAATTTATTTGACTTAAATAAAATTTATTTGATTCAAGAAAACATTTAACTGATAATATAGCCAAGTAATCGGTTATTTGAATCAAATAATTTTTTCTTTCAGTATTTTGAATCAACATAAATAGATTTTATCATCTCCAGAAATTTAATTTAATTTAAAAAAATATTTTTAATTTATTTATATTTTATTTATCTTATTAGTTATTAAGAAATTTTCCTAGACTTTATATATAACAAATTTTTTCAGTAGTTTTCATTTATGAAAAATTCGATCATTAATTTATGGAAGCCAAAAGTTAAAAAGAAAAAAAGGCAATATTCTCATTTATTAAAAATTAATCGATAAATTATTTAAATTCTTTATGGAATTAAGCCCTAAAGGATAATTTACATAAAACAGAGGAGTATGTATATAAACGCGTAAAGTCGCTGAGTTACAAGCACTCGAGTTTATAGCCAGGTACATCCGTGTTACATTAATTCTCGCTTTATTAAGTTTTATTATGCTACATTTATGTTACACTGTTATACGTTTAAAGCCGCCACCAGCAGCCAAAAGACAAGTAAATATTTCGCGAAAGCAAACTGAAAGCCATGAGTTTCCGGTACTCGAGATGAATTAAAAATTTACAAGTGAAACTGTTGAGGCAAGTTAATTACAGGGAAATATTTAAACTTTACTTTAACTGAGTTTACTTCCTGGGTGTACGATACGCGATTAACGTATTAACGCTCTCTGGGTGAAAGACATCAGACAGAGAGAGAGAGAGAGAAAAAGGAAACGTTTACGTCAAACCACAATTTTACACCTTTTTTGAAAAAAAAAAATTATAAAATGTGAATAAAAATAAATTGGGAGGAAAATCAAGTTGAGAATTCGAGATCTTTGATAGAAGTTGTTATTTTTACGATCTCTTGATAAAATAAAGGAAAATACTGTCAATTGAGCAAAATTCTCGAGTGCTTGCAACTTTATATTTGAAACGTAATGTTATCAAAGAAGAGAATTCTTTAAAGGCGTCGTCGCGACGACATTGCCACCGTTTCGACAGGTCCCACTTAAAAGTTTTAGTACGTCGATTCGAATAACAAGTAGGTAGATGTTCAAAAACTTTCTAGACGCCTCGATTCTTCTACAGCGTTTTCTAACATATATATGTATATATAACTTTGAGTTGTTCCAACGAGTGCCACGGAGATGGATAGATATATATGTACACATTGTACAATATTGTCCGATTCTCGACAAAAGGTTACAACTTCATAAATAGCTACTTCGCGAGAACACGACTTTAAAGTTTCTGCCACTTTCTTCGCGTTAGAGGGAAAGAGAAACCTATTAATTTTATATAAGTCACGTACAAAACAGTTTAAGTATCCTCCGTTGGATTCAATTTTAAGAAAAACTTTCTTCAAACTGTATCAAAGTATTAAAACTTTCGTTTTTTCCCCCCTTTTTTTTAAATACAGTTTGAAAAGAATCAATGACTTGGAAAAAATTGTTAAACTTAATTTTTAATTTAATTGCAAAAATTTAATTAATTAAAATATCGCAGAGTTGTCACAAAAATTTAATTTTGTTTTTCCCTGATTTCTAATTTTAAGAATATTATTATTTTAAAACATGAAGACATCGATCTTTCTTCATGTTTTACAATAATTAAAAATTGGTAAAATCATTTTACATTATAAAAATATTGTTACTGTAACTTCTTCAAAATTATTTTCATCATTTCAATTAAATTATTATTTTCTAGAATTTTTAACTATAAAATTCTTCATTAAATCAATTATTTTTAATAATTTTTGAATAAGTTCTTTTTGAGAATTTTTGAATAATTGAATTCTCGCAGAATTTTCTAATAAAAATTGATTTAAAAATGAATTTTAGTTAAAATTTTAGATTATTATTGAATATTAAAAGCGTGAATTTTTAGAAATAATTGAATTTTGAAAAAGTTTCGAATTATAATTTTTGAAAATTTGAAATTTTCATTCTTTTCACTAACAATTCTGTAGAATTAATTTTTTTGAAAAAGTTTAATTGAATTTTTTTTTAAATTATTTAAAGTTTTTATTTTCTAATATATATATTATTTTAATTGAAGAAATTCCGAATAATCGAAATTTCGTAAAATTGAATTGGGAGCGTTCACAAATGATGTCACGCTTTTGGGGGTAGGGGGGGGGTCTCTACTAAACGTGACACAATGTATTTTTCTCATGTGAAATTGCAAAAATTGCATGACAGGGGGGAGGGGGGTCTATAATCTCCAAAAATTGCGAACTCATTTAATATTCAATAAATTATCAATTTTTTATCAATTTTTTTTTCAATTTCAATTATTAATTATTATTAATTATTATTAATTATTTTTTTCAATTTTTTTATCAATTTTTTTTATTATCAATTTTTATTAGAAAATTCTGCAAGAATTCAATTATTTAAATAAAAAAATAAATAATTTAATGAGTAATTTAATGTTTTTGAAAATTGAATTCTCATAAAGAATTTTATCAACAAATTTTTAAATAATTAAATTCTTTCGGTGAATTTTAATGAAATTATTAAGACGAATTGAAATTCTGCGATGAATTTGATTATTTTAAAAAAATAATTAAATTCCTAAAAAGAATTTTATTAATTATCGAAAATAATAATTTTTTTGTAAAGAATGAAATTAAGTTATTTAAAATAAATTATTGTTACAAATGGAAAAAATTTAATGTTTTGTATTAGAATTCGTGGTAATTTTCCTGACTTTTCTGGCATTTAATCTTTAAACAAAATTAAATAGAAAATGAAAATTTACTCTTAGGTGATAAAATGTCCTTTTTAATATAATTTTGTGTCTTGTAATATTCACGGAACTTTCTGACAAAGAAAACTTTATTTTTCATACTAAAGATGGAAAATTTTTTGAAAATTTTTAACAACTTGAAACAATTTGAATTAAAAATAATGAAAATTACGTTTTGAATCTCTTGAGTGAAAAATAAACTTTGTCAGGACCGAACCGATTAATATTTTATTTTAATTTTTGGTCTAAACTGCAACTTAAAAATAAAAATCTTCTTACGATCTCTTGATGTTGGGTACAAAAGAATTTTTCTTTTAATTATAAACTTAAGAAATTAATTTCAATTTATCGTTTATAAATTTCAATTACAAAGAAATTTGTAAAATTGTAAAGAATTTTAAATTGTAAAAATATGTAATAAACTGAACAGATAAGTTAAATAATATAAAATCTTACTTGGAAAACTTTACTTCCTGCAAAAAGGTCTCCTTCAGTTGAAATGTGAATCATTCCAGAGCAGAAGCGACGTGAAAATTAACACTATTATCACCAAGTCCGAAAATAGTCCATCCAGGTTTCCAAAAGATAACAGCAGCTTGAAAATTTGTAGTTTTTTCCTCTATTTACACAAAAATTGGTCCATCCATGTTTCCAATTAAAGAAATGCAGCGTCAAAATTCGTAGTTTTTTTCTCCGTTCGCACAAACAACACTGAGTCCATTCATATTTCCATTAAAATACACTTTTTCCAATCGTTTCAGTAAAAGCGGGATAAAAATAAACACTTTTTTCCATCATGTCCGAAAATATAAGTCCATTAAAATTTTATCGAATCGAATTAATAAAAGCTGCGTGTGACTCTTGGCAGATTTTTCCCTGTGTCCATATTCGCATTTCCTCGTGCAAGTAAAATTGTACCTACAAAAAACGATTTGTGTATATTTTGCATAATTAAAATTGCAAATTTACGAATTCAACGAAATTGATTTAAGATTGATGAAATTAAGAGGCGACAAATTTACTGCTTTAATTACAAAAAATCAAAATGTAAATTTTATGGGAATTCAACTTTTAATAAGATTTATTATTTAAAACATTTTTTTTATATGATGAGATTTTAATAAGATATTCATTTTTAAATAAATACGAAAGTTAATTTTTAAGTAAATAATAATTAAAGATGACCGCGAGTTATAAAATCATTTACAATTTAATTATTATTTACAAGAATTTTGAACTAAAATTCTTCTTTAAATCGATTATATTTAATAATTTTTGGGAAAATTTCTTTGACAATTTTCAAATCCATTTATTTACAATATTCAATTATTCCTAAATTCTTTAATTAAATAAATATTAGAAAATAAAAACTTAAAATAATATTTAAAAAATTCAATTTAACTTTTTCAACAAAATTAATTTTAAAATTCAATTATTTTTAAAAATTCACGCTGCACTGCTTTTAATATTCAATTATCATCTAAAATTTTAACTTAAAATTAATTTTTAAATCAATTTTTATTAGAAAATTCTACTAGAATTCAATTAAAATTAAAATTAAAAAAAATTTTAATTAAAAATTAATATTAAAAATAATTGAAATTCTGCGATAAGTTTTATTATTTGTGAAAATAATCGAATCCCTAAGAAGAATTTTATTACTTTTGAACAATATTTAATTTTTGCAAAGAATATTATTACTCTTGAAAATAATAAACTTCTGCAATAATTTGTAACTTTTGAAAAATTTGAATTTTTTTCGTGTTTTTAAATAAACATCTATAAATCCATCATTTTAAATAATTTTTGAAAAAGTTCTTTAAGAATTTTCAAATTCATATGTTTTGTTTACTTGAAATAATTTTAAAGCAATTAATTAATTCAAATTTTCAAAGATTTCAATCTGAAACCTTTTCAAAATTTAATTATTTTTAAAAATAATTTAAATTTTGTCAAAAATTTTATTAAAAGTTTTAAAAATAATTGAATTTCGGAGAATTTAATTATTTCTAAAGATAGTTGAAATTTTGACGAGAATTTTTTTGATGAATCAATAAGTACGGACTTTACGGATCTTTTTAAAAAAACGGATTTTTACGGGATTATGGACCTAGTTCGAGCCCTGCTATTTTATAATTTACAAAATTAGCCAAAATTATAACTGAAATCAGGAATTCTGCAGCGCAAATCTTTCGAAATAAATCATTAAATTTTCGATGATAGAAATATCTCTGTGTGTAAAAAAGTGAAATTTATAATATAGAAACGTTAATTTTAAATAATAATGTAGACTATAAATAAGAATATGTAGAATATAAAATTAAAATATGAAATAAATCATTCAGTTAATTTAAAGAATTCGAAAAGTGGATGTACCTTAATTACTTTTTCCCAGTTTTCGTTATCTATAATATTAAATTTGATTTTTCGATTTATAATTCTATAAATAATAACGTAAATCTTACCTTTTGCAAAAAGGAATTTTTCTATGTATAAAAAATAATTTACAATTAGAAATAAAAAGAGAAGAATAGAAATTAAGTGTAGAAATTATAGTAGAAAAATTATTACAGAAAGGGAGGATAATTTTCCAGAGGTTCCGAGAGAAAAATGTTAATTATAGAATAGACGAACACCAGACGACAGGAGGATAACCAAAAGAAGAAGATGAGACATTGATGTTAAAAGAAGGGAAAAGATTTTGGTCGTAAGAAGACAGACAGTGGTCATAGATCTTTAGAAACCGCGATCTGCCCCGCGATTCGCATATATGCGAATAAGAAGCAATGGGGCTGCTTATATGTTGGTGGTGGTCGAGGTGGAGAAGCTGGACAGGAGTATAAACAAGAGACGGTTCTCGGCCACCCAGCTAGCCTTCTCTCTTTCTCGGTCCTCTTTTCAGCCGGAATTCGGCCCAGGGCTCGCTCGCTCGCTCGATATTCAAACTAATAAATTAGAAGTCGCGCTACGCTCGGCCTCAACGTATATGAATCATCAAAACAATGGAATGCAGACTAAGATGGCGCCTCCGTCTATATATCGAAGCACACACGGCTCCCTGACAGTCTGTCCATCCATGCGCCAGAATATTAAACCTTTCTTTTGTTTTATAGAAAAAAACAGAGGTTCTCATTGATCTTTCCATCTCATTGACTATAACCAATGCGAATTTACATCACTAATTACCGCAGCTCTCGAAAATCTTTCTGAAATACATCAAGGGAAACTTTATGTACACCGCCGGCTCGCGTGGACGGTGTATACATATATACAATTAAACGCATATTGAAATATTTTATCAAATATTGAAATATTTAATCAAATATTTACATATTCAATCAAATATTTACATATTTCATACCAAATATTGAAATATTTAATCAAATATTGAAATATTTTACCAAATATTAATATTTTAATTCAAATAATATTACGATTTGTATATTCACATTGTATTTTTTCTCAATTAAAAGCATTTCGAAAAAAAATTATTAAGTTTCTGTTAATAATATTCGAATAAAAATGAAAATATCAACAAAATATTTAAAAATTTATTAACAGGAAAAATAACCTATTAATAAAAATAAATAGAAATTTTCTCTAAAAGAAATTATTAAAAATAATAATAATAACCTAACAATAAAATTGAAATTTTCTGTAAAAAAAATGATTAATAAAATTATTCCTGCGGAAAATAACCTAAAAAATTCGGATAGATGAAATTATTTAAAAATAAATATTACTTATTGCTGGATAAAATAACCTATGTAAATAAAAAAAATAAAATAAGTTTCTAAAAAAAAGATTAATAAACTTATTGCTGGGGAAAATAACCTATAAATAAGAAAAATAATAAATAAAATAATATTTTTTCTAAAAAGAAATATTAATAATACTTTTTGCTCCGGAAAATTGCCTATAAACAATATAAATAGAAATGAAATTATTAAAAAATAAATATTAAACTTGTTGTTGGATAAAATAACCTATGAATAAGAATAAAAATGAAATAATTTTTCTGAACAAAAAAATTAAAAACTAACTTATATTCCTGGGGAACATAACTTAAAAATATCAAGGAAAGAAATTAACCTTTTTTTTTGCCAAAAATATGCAAAAACAAGTTAATTTTGACATAAAGACTAAAAAATATTTCATCAATTTGCATATTTAGTACATTTAGTATGTTTAGTACAATAAAAAAGAATAAAATGGAAAAAAAATTTACCATGTGCCACGGGGAGCTGCTATGACGCCATCTCAAGAATTGAGTAAATCTCCACAAATTTGTACCTAGAACATAATATTTATACATTAAAAGAAACGGATCGATAAATATTGACTTTTTCCGAGTAAATTAGTTACATTTTATTACAAAAACGAAGAAAAATCAATGAAATACCTTCAGCACGATCTTTTCGCTGCGCCACAGGAAATCCAAAATGTCTGCCCTTTCGAGCATTTCCACCAAAGTTCGTTACTTCCTTCTTGTCGCTTTGAAACCGGAAATGAAACTTTCGACACAATTCACTTGCAGACTTTTTGCCACCAAACTGAATATTAATTGTAATAATTAATAAACATTAGGTATCGAAAATGATATTTATAAATTAAATGAACTTGATAAAAATATTTTCTTTGGTGCAGGCAAAATCGGATAATTATGGGAAAGTAATGTTGATAAATAATGTCCAAGTCTTGACGGTCTTGACAGACTACTCTATTAGTCAAATTAACAACTTTTTTTTATAATAAAATTATTGTTACTTAAAATTTTTTTATAAAGTGAATGATTAGATAAGATTTAGATTGAATTTTTCTTTTTTACGTTACTTAATTATTGAGTAATTAATCACACTTAATTAAATAAATGAAATGAAAATCAGGAAAAATTACAAGTAAATCTACTTTAGTGAAATTCACAACAATTTTGAATACAATTTAATTACCGATGTTTAATTTTCGTAAAAAGATAATTAAATTTTATTCGATTTTTCTTTCTGAAAGTAATTAATTAATTATTCCAAGTGACCGGAAATTCGAATTTGATACTAGCGACATCTGTAGGTCGCTTATGTAAACATACAGCAATTCCGATTCTGCTCGTTCCTCCCGTTCAGTCTTTCCGCCATTTTGTGTTTGACACTCTAACCTCATTTTTTTTTGCGAGACGAAATGGTTGTTGTTATTAATTACTATTGTCTATTATTAGGGAAATTTTGAGAATATTACATGTGTTGTTACAGACCAGTTTGCAGAATATTACAGAATTATTTTTTATGTTTATTGTATTGATTTATTACAAATTGTTTTTCGATTTTAACGAAACTCGTTCTCAATGTGATATAAACTAGTAATTTACACTTGACATTTTGCAATAATTCCATCAACAGTGCGAGAAAATCGCACAGTGTCTTTAAAGGTAAGAAATTTATGTTCTAGAATTCCCCTCTTTTATGGATTATCGAGCAAAAAAAAAAAAAAAAGAAAATTGTAAAGTCAGAATTATTGCCGTATATAAACACTTGCTGCAAGAAAGAGTATAGATTCGATATGGTGACACATTGAAGATGCGGAGTGTAAGAGAAAGAATGACAGAGGTCAAACGATTTAGCCTCGTGGCACGTAGCTGCCGATACTCATCTTCTGGGAACGTTTCTTCTTATATGCGCTTCTTCGTTGTGCGCTCTAAAAAAAGAAAAAAAACAGAAAAATCTCCCCATTGAAAAAAGGAATGAAAATTGTTTTCACGAGGTAAATCTGCGGACATATTACCGCTCTGGTAAACATAATATTCATCTCGGGTCCCGAGGTCACCCGGGCCATCAGCGACTGGAGATGAATGAAAACTAAAACCCGGTCGTCAAGTTTGTGGACGAAGAAACTGAATGGGGAACAAGTTGGTGTAATGCACTCTCTCTGAGCTGAGACTGACCGATTGCGATTCGCGATATTCTCTCCGCACTGGTCATGCCAGTTGACTTATGAGGCAAAATCCAAAACACCACGCAAAGTGTGGGAATATACTCGCCTCATATACGTGCATCAGGAATTTAACTCTTCTTCTTCTTCTTATTCTTTGTCGAGAGAAATTGCGAAATCATTCCGCCGATCATCATTTTAAATTCTCCCCGTTATCTTGCCTTTAAATCGGAGAAATCAAGTTTCAATTTTCAATTGAACAAAATCAGGGTTGCCACAAGTCAGGTGAAGATATTGAATTGGTCAGGAAAATCAGGGATTTTTAATTTCAATTTTAAAAATTTTAACGCAATTCTTTGAAAGAATTAAACTATCTTAATAAATAATAAAATTCTTTTCAGAAACTCAATTATTTTCGATATTCTTTTTTTTAATTCTCGTCAACATTTCAATTATTTTTATAAATAGCAAAATTCAATTATATTCAAGAATATTTATAAAATTCAATTATTTTCATAAATAACAATATTCGTTACAAGAATTCAATTATTTTCAAAATTAATAAGATTCTTCGCAGATATTCAATTATTTTCAAAAAATCTAAAAAAAAATTGTCAACATTTTAATTAGCTTTATAAATGAATAGCAAAATTCTTGGACAAAATTTAATTATTTTCAGGAATTTTAATACAATTCATTGATAAATTCAATTATTTTCAAAAGTAATCAAATTCAATTATTAAAAAATTTTAATTAAATTCATGGCAAAATTTCAATCATTTTGAAAAATTTTTCTTAATTCAACGTTTTTCAATATTCTACTATTTTAATCAAATTTTCCTAAAGAATTCAATTATTAAACAAAAATTTTTTAAAAATTCTCGTCAACATTTCGATTATCTTTATAAATAGCAAAATTCTTCGCCGAAATTTATTTATATTTAGGAATTTTCATACAATTCATTGCTAAATTCAATTATTTTTAAAAGTAATGAAGTTCAATTATTAAAAAATTTTAATAAAACTCGTGGCAAAATTTTCAATTATTTTCAAAAAGTTTTCTTGATTCAACGATTTTAAATATTCTACTAGGTATTTCAATAACATTTTCATAAAAAATTCTATTATTAAACAAAAATTTTTTTAAAAATTCTCGTCAACATTTCAATTATCTTTATACATAGCAAAATTCTTCGCCGAAATTCAATTATATTCAGGAATTTTTATAAAATTCACTGTAAAATTAAATTATTTTCATAAATAACAAAATATTGATTACAAGAATACAATTATTTTCAAAATTAATAAAATTCTTCGCAAATATTCAATTATTTTCAAAAAAATCTAAAAAAAAAAAAATTGTCAACATTTCAATTATCTTTATAATTGAAATACAAAATTCTTCGACAAAATTCAATTATTTTCATAAATAACAATATTCATTACATGAATTCAATTATTTTCAAAAGTAATAAAATTTGCAATTATTAAAAAATTTGAATAAAATTCATTGCAAAATTTCAATTATTTTCAAAAATTTTTCTTAATTCAACGATTTTCAATATTCTACTAATATTTTTAAGAAAATTTCCAAAAGAGTTCAATTATTAAACAGAAATTTCGATAATTAAATTCTTAGCAGTAATTCAATTATTTTCATAAATTTTTTAATTCTTTTCAGGGATTTAATTATTTTTATAAATAATAAAATCATTCGGAGGATGTAAATTATTTCCATAAATAACAATATTCATCACAAGAATTCTATTATTTTGAAAAATTTTAATAAAATTGCTTGGCAAAATTTCAATTATTTTCAAAAATTTTTCTTAATTCAATAATTTCCAATATTTTGTATTATTTTAATAAAATTCCCCAAAAGAATTCAATTATTTAAAAACAATTTTGAGAAAGTTATACACGAATTATTAAAAATCATTAAAAATAGAATTTGCATAAATTTTTTCGAAAAAAATCAATTGTTTAAAACTTTTTTATAAAATTCTTCGCAATAATTCAACTATTTTCATAAATAATAAAATTCATTGCAGAATTTTAATTCAATTTTAATTGGATTCCTCAAGAAATGTAATTATTCTTAAAAATGTTATTAAAATCAGTCGAAAGAATTCAATTATTTAAAAATTTGTTGATTAAATTATGTATAAGAATTTAATTTTAAGAAACATTTAATAATTATTCAATAAATTATCTATGTTTGTATTTAAATAATTGAATTCCCGTAGAATTTTCTAATAAAAATTGATTTAAAAATTAATTTCACTTGAAGGTTTAGATAATAATTGAATTTTTGAGAAGTTACTAATAATTGCAATTTTTAGAAATAATTAAATTTTGCAAAGGTTTCAAATTAAAATCTTTGAAAATTAAAATTTTTCATACTTTTAATTAAAAATTCTATGGAACTAATTTTTCTCAAAAAGCATTAATCGAAATTTTTTAATATTATTTCAAGTTTTTATTTTCTAATCTATATTTAATTGTGGAATTTCCGAATAATCAAAATTTTGTAAAATTGAATACAAATGAATTTTAAAATTTTCAAAAGAGCATATTATTAAAAATAATTGATTTGAAAATGAATTTCAGAAGGTTTGAATTTGAAAATCTTAATTCCTATAGTAAAATAATAATGATTAAATATTTATTTAAAAATGAAGTTATTGGTGTTTTTTTAAAAATTTTACAATTAAGGAAATTCATAAATAAATGTAATGGAAAATTTTTTTGAGTGTCTAATAATTTTTAGAGTGAATCAGAATTTTCTTTAGGGTCAGGGAAAAAGACAAAATTTTGTCTGGAAATCAGGGGGAAAAAAAATTTAATTTTTGTGACAACTCTGAAAATTTTTTCTTTTTTTTAACGAAGCTCGGTAATTTTTTATTTCCCCATATATTTAAAATTCTAATCATTAATTTAATTTTGACAATAGTTTTTCGATTTTTCAGTTTCAGAACTAAAGGATAGAATTAATTTTCATCAAATTGGTAAAAATCGGAACTGGCATTTTTTTCTTGTGTCTAATTTTGGCTTCAAGGGATATAAGCGAGCGAATCGACGTTGAGCCTCGGGCGCAATTTCAGTTGATCTCTCGAAACTTCTTGTAAGGATGAAAAATCACGATTGTGCATGTGAATCAAGTAGAAAGGAAGGCTCAATTTTTAGGGTTGACAACCTATACCTTGTGGGACTGTTCTAACGCAAGTTCAACGTAGAAAAAGAGTCCGCGCAACCCCCTTGTTGCAGGAAGTTACGTGGGTGTCGAGAGGTTCATCAAAGAGAACTGGTTGATGCACTCGAGACACAACCCCTTTTGGAAAAAAACATGGCTGACAAGCGGAATGGCCCGCGTCGCACCGCCTTTGAACGGATAACCTTTCATCAAAACCCGATATATGTCCACATAATATCCTGGTGAATTATTTTTATTAAATTGAGAATAATTTTTCTAAATTTGCATTAAATTATCAAGTATAGTGTTTTTACATTCTCATTTTTGGTACTTTTAATTTCTTAGTGGTATTTTATTTATTTATTTTTTTTATTATTTTTATCCGTCTTCAAATGAT